AGAGTGTTTTTCATTAAGTTATTCAATGAGATTTGTGCCGGCTTTTAGTTTTTTTCTTTTAAGTGAAGCATGCAATATTTTAAAACATCTATTGACTAATTTAATCTCACCTATTTCTAAAATGTTTCTCATGCTGATTCATTTCTATTTAATATTTCCCACAAAGTTATAATATTCATGGGGACAGCAGTACTCACTAATGAGCTTTTAATAAGGGTACAGAAATGTGTATGAACTACAAGATGAGAGAGTTGAAAGCTGCTCAACAGCTCTGACTGTAGATGGATTTTAATTGTCCTAGAGAAAATGTAGGTATTACTATTGTATATGGCTATTGCATGACTTTGATCGTTTTTTCTTACATCATTTTCCTAGTAGTTATTTCATACCTATCAGAAACTAAATAACAAAATAAAGTTATTTTGTAACCTTTGCTCTTGAGATTGGTTTTATTGGTAATAAAAATAAATAAAATTTAAGCTATGAAAGATGAAATTCATGCTTTTGCATTAATTACTTTTGCATAAATTAAGCTTGTCATGCATAAGATTGGGTTATTATTTTGTATCAGTGGATAACAGGATCTATCCTGAATAAATACCTGTAAAGAGCAGGAGAAAAATATCCCATGTTTGGTAATTTTCTTAATGGAGTTTAGGAATTATTATTTCTATATTAGCTGGAATTTTCCTTTGGTTTTCTATAAGGTAGGCTTTCTTTCAAAAAGACAGGAAAAACTAAATCTGTATAAAATGTACCTTCCCCATTGAAAATAATTGATAAATTATATTCATTACTGATAAGGAAAAAACAGAAACAAAATTTTGTAAATAGGGAAGGGTGGAGGGGTTGAGGGGGCAGGGAAAGAGGGAAAAAAATAAGAACCAAGATATATCATATATAAAGGTACAAATTCCCAATGATGAATGTCATCATAATGTATACCTATAATATACTAATAAACTTAATGCATAAAAAATGAAATAAAAATAAAAGTATATTAATTACTATTTTTATAGCAGGGCAGTTATTACAGACAGTAAGTTCTACACATTTATAGTGTTATAGTTGCTTAGAAATTCTATATGTTATCACTGCACAATTAGTTAAAAAAGAAAAGATACGTTTCATACTTTGTTATTCATTGCAGTTGAATGTAAATTCATTTCTCTACTTAAAGAAAATAAACATAGGAAGAGAAATCATTACCCAGTGATATACTACTTCTTGTTCTATATCAAACAAATGAATGAAAAATAGTGTTTTGAGAATATAAATATCAATGTCTCCAAATAAATTATTAAGAATAGTCAAATGTATTTATTTTAAACCAGAAACCTTTATATACCCACCAAATAAGCTGAGCTTTAGATTATTGTATATAAACATTCTAAAGGAAAAGTAATGTCTACAAATTAATTTATTTCAGTAAATATATATAAAATTATACTTTTACTTGTGTCTACACAAGGACACTAGTTTTGTGAATTACACTTATTTCTTCAAATTTGTGGTTTCTTTTCATAGTAGTTGTATTAAAACAAACAAATATGGAACTGAAAGGGAACAAACGGATACTGATAACTTGTAAGACAACTTCAAAATAAAATTACGCAAGTATTACAGCAAGAAAAATGGGTATGTGATAACTAAGGAGTAAAAAGTAAATAATAGCTAAAGAGTAAAAGTTAAACACTTTCTTCATGAGGAAATAGATATGAAATTGACATATTTACTCAGAGATACCTAAAAGGAGACACTTTAAAAATATCCTAATGTAGTTCTACAGTGATTTCCTTCCTGATCTCTACCTACTTCTGATGAATTCAATGTAAATAAACATTTTCTTTTTTTAAATCAGCTTCTTCCTCTAAGGTGACTCCTTCTGCTGTTCTCAGATCCAAGCTGTGAACCTGACCTTTCTACATACTGTGAGATCAGATCAGCTCCAACCATTTTCATGGGTCAGTAAAGACCAATTGATGCGAGATGACATCCAGAGTTAAAGACCACAATACTTTGAAGTCAATGATATCTTAAAAAACCCAGAGATATAGAGCATGGTAGCATGACAAACTAGTACTTCTTTTTAATGTTCACATTAGTTTGCTTATTCAGAAAACTTCAGGCATTACACATGCCTAAAGGTGTACTTAAAAGCTAAGATAAAATTACAGGGGGGAAAAGCATTGCAGAAAGTTGGTTTTGTCTTCCTATTAGATATAAATACAACTAATTAGACAGAAGCACAGCAGTGGAATCTTGTAGTGTCCACTGCACATTTGAATTATGAGCAGGGCATCTATGCATTCATCTGAGAGGCAAGCTTACTGCCAGCTGGTGTCAGAAATGAAATCATTAACAGGCATTGTAAAGTTGTCAAAAATAATAGCAAGGTATAAGCATAATTGACCTGGGCTGAATTTGAGCTAGTTATTTAAAAATAAAAATATTCAAAAGTGGTGCTACACTTTGTAAAGGATATATTGTCTCTAAAATGCAAGTCTCCCCCCAAAACTGCAAAATCAAATTCCTTACCATTTTCTGTTGATAAATCTCCAGATTATATTGAAATTTTTAGCATAATAAATAAAAGTAAAATCAGATTTCTCCAAAACAGATTTTGAGAAATATTTTAACCCACTAGGTTCACACTAGAGCTCTTATATGGGATTACATTATTTACCAAGATATAACCCATTGTAATAAAAAACAAAAGATTTAGAGTAGAAAATTATTCAGATCATAGTTCAGTCTTTACTGGCTTTAGGACACTAATTATTTCACTGTTTGGGGTGGGGTTATGTGATGTCTCCTTCTCCCCAGAATTAATCTGTGTATTATAAGAAAAGGCTTTGCAAACCACATTTTAATATGGTACTTTAATATTTATTTTATTTAAAGCAGTTGCTTATTATCAAGTGTGACTAATACCCAGATGACAACTCCAGATTGTTTATCAATATAGCCAATGTAATAAACATCTTAATTAGCACTTAGGGAATTCACTCAATAGAGTCTAGTAAATAAATTCAATAGGTAAGTCAGACATAAACTTCTAAATAACTTAATCTTATTTTTCTACTATCAAGAACTTTTCAAATTTGTTAGTTTCTGTTTTCCTAGTAAAGCAATCATCTTAAATTTGAACACAGTTACATGAACTATGGAAATGTCAAACTCTGATTCCTTTCATATAAATCTTTACCCATTGTCAAAATATTGGGTCTTACATCTTGTTCGTACCATATATGATATTATGAGGTAAAATATGTTAAGAATCACTTCAAAATATTCCATATCAAAAGCAAGGACATAATGATTTTGTTTTATATGAGAAAATCTCAGGAATAAAAAGGTTTTTTTTAAAAAACAATAAATCGGTCATCAAATTGAAAAACACATTTTGGTTAAACTCTAATTACAATTAGAGCAAAGAAATATTACTTAAAAGTTTAACTATTTCAGGAAAATTTCTTCAATATCTACTTAGAATAATATATATTAATTTTCTCATCCAGAAAACATTTTTATTAATAACCCAGAAACACTGAGCCTTCACAATGCATGATTCAAATATGCATGTAATTTGGTCAGTGTAGGGACCTGTAAAACAAACACTGCTTATAGGGCTTAAATTAAAACAATCACATTTTCATATTTCATATTTCTAGTGGCTACTACATTTTTGGTAGCAGAACAAAATTCTTAAAATTATGTAAAACAATAATTAGAAACATCGGTAACACTGTATTGACACAGTAAAATGAAAAATTGTGTCATCATCATAAAAAGAAATATTAGACAGCACTAAAAAGAACAATCTAGTTATATACACAACATGAAAAATTATCACAGAGACAAAATACTGAATAACACAAGTCAGACAAAAATATATACATATTATATCATGTGATTCTATTTATACAAAATCAAAAGTTGGCAAGCTAACATATGAAGATGGATATCAGGGGGCTAGGTGAGAGCTGTCTAGGCTGCTAGGGAATTTTATATTCTCATAATGGAGATGACTATATGCATGTATGCATATGATTATGTGTGTGTGCATTTGTTAAACATTCTTCCTGCTGTATTAAGAATTGTGTATATTCACGTTTGAAGATGTAGATCAGTGTGCAGGTCCTGGTTCAATCCCCACCAAACACACACACACGCACGCACACAATAAAAGTGCTAATTATGTATATTAAATACAATCATTTAAATTTTTTTCCAATTACAAAAAATCCCAAGGTTATCCAAAGACCATCTTTAATTTTTCAGAACGGAAATTAGTGGATATTTCAACAAGACTTATTAAAGGATCAGAGTATCCTAGGATATAGAAGTCAAGGATGGAATCGTGAAACAGAATCTTTTAATAGTGTAACTTTAGAGAAAAAATTCGGTTACATATCCTTTTCATTAGTCTTTCCTCTAACAGTTGAGCTAAATCTCTATTCCATTCTATACCGCTAAACTTAAAAAAAAAAAAAAGAAAGAAAAATAACTTTTCGACCTGAATATAAAAGACCTTATAGGGTAAGAGGTTTATGGGGAAGAGAGAAGATAAAATGAAAAAAAGATCTGTGATCAAAGCCAAGTCCTTAATCACTATTGTTATTACAATAAGCAAAAAGACCACTCTTCCAAGTCATAATTTTATCTTCCATAAAATAAAGAAATTAAAGAAATAACAGTCAATTATCACAACTCTATGGTAAAAAAGTCAAATATGTGAGTGCTTTTGAACCAAATTATTCACTGTCCATCAAGTTATTCTGAATCATCAGAGCCAGCATACATGAAACAATAAAATAAAATAAGCAATTTTATAAGATGTATTTTATGCCTATATTTTAATTTATGTTTAATTTTATCAATGGAAGTTAAAAATCTAAAAGTCAAAATATTGGCCAACAAATGGTCTATAACAGTTCAAGTTTGATATTTTACAAGCATGTGATACGTAGAAATTCTAAATTTTAAAGTGCACAGACCTTGTGGCCTTGTAGGAAACACCTGTTCTGAGCAGTTGAGCATAATCCTGAGGATTTGCTTCTGTGAGAGTCCAAAATAGGGCAAGGCATGGCACGGTGTAGGTTTTCATAGGGAAAACTGACTGTGTCTTCCCAACTCTTGCACTTCTTCAGTTATAATAATGTATCTGTTGACAAAACAAATTAGTGCAATTTCTTGCCTGAGAGATGCTCCCCCTTATTATACTATTCCACAGCGCTTATTATTTTAAACCACTGATGGGTAAGGAACCTCACATTAGAAACACAATCCTTGCCCATAAACATTATCATGCTTTTTTACCCCTGCTGGAGGAAAACTGCCTGTTACCAAAATTGTTTTGTTGGTCACTGGCTATTGCTTAACTTAGAACAACACAAAAAGTTCTTCAGGAAACTTACTGTATAAAGACCCTGTTTTGCTGTTTTCTGTCTGTGGTTGATTTTGGTTTTTTTAGAACTCCTTCTCTTCAACTGGTATAAAGAGAAAGAGAGAATGAAGGAGAGGGAAATACTAATATCAAAGGGTTATATTTAATATTTCTTCATACTCCATAGGTCCAAGATCATTAGATATGCAGTACAACAGGTAAATATGCAATGCAACAGATAACAGCATGGGCTGGTGGTACCAGTAACACAAGTTCAAATCCCTACATCAATACTTACTAGCACTGAAAATTGGGAAAATTGATTAAGCACTCTGAGCTTCCATATGTACAATGAGACACCAAAATCATTCCCTTCTCTTTCACAGTTATTTAGAGTTAAATGAGTTGAGATATATGAAGAAATATTCAGAGAATGTAACCCAGTGCATCATTGACTGATCATGTATTATATTTTCAAGGCCAGGGGTCAATCACTTAAAATAACATCATAGACAGAGCAAAGAACTCCATCACCATACTCATAACCAAGTTCTACTTACAAATTTCTAACTACTTCCAGAGTCAAATTTTTGAAATACTTTCATAAATACTCTTGGAAAAGAAAATTATTTTTGATATATTAATTGCTTGATTATTTTAAATCACCAGGCTTATATAAACTAAATGTTCTTTAATTCCTTGGTTTGATACAATTCTCCACTTGGCACTCTTTTTCCTTTCATATACCTTCTCAGAAGAGTTTTAGAAAAACTCGACTATTCTTTACTGCAAAAAGAAGAATTTTATTTCCTATTCAAGGAAAATTAGTCTTTATTAATGCATTAATGTTATGGACAATAGTTAATTGCTGCTGACCACATCAGTAACAACAAGTAAAATGTATGTATTTTTTTGAAGTTGATTTTTCCAGAAATATACACTCGTGGGAACTGTGGCTTGGGCAATTGTTTCCCAAAGGTCCATGTCTGAGGCTTAGTCCCCAGGGTGACACAACTGGATGTGGCACCTTCAAGGTTCAGAGCCTACTAGGAAGTCCTGAGGCCATTGGGAATCTGCCATTGAAAGGGGTGTGAGAGCCTGGCCCCTTTCTCTTTCTCTGTATTTGCTTTCTGATCTTGAGATAAGTCTGCTCCACCATACACTCCTGCCCTGATGTGCTGCCTCATCACAGGTCCAAAGCAAAGTAATCAATTGATCATGAACTGCAACCTCCAAAACCATGAAATAAAATAAGTATTTATTCTTTATAATTTAGTTACATTAGCTACCTCATTGTAATGACAGAAAGCTAATGCAGTGGTCATTACTTAAAATCTGATCTGAGAAACAGTGTGCCAGTCTTCCATATTTTTAATAATTTACTTACATCTTGCTTTTGATCTTTTCCTTAACATTAAGTAGATTAAAATCTCTCTTTCTCCCTCTCTCTCTCTCTCTCCATACACACACATGGCTGCACACATGCACACATGTGCACATCATCTGGGGAACTTGAAAATATACACATAGACTGTTTTTCCAGCTATACCTAAATAACTTTGCATGCTGTCAGGAAGTACATAATACAGAAGGCCTAAAGTCATAGAGAGGAACTAAACTCAATCAATTTTTATAAACTTGCTGTCAATTTTCGTTGGTTGTAATTTCCAATATTTTGATGATTCCACTGCTGCCAAAATGGACATTGTCCATGGTAATCGTAAGTATCAATTCCTTTCAACAAGTAAACTCAGTAATAATGCTTCCACTCCAACTTTAAAACCATCAAAATGTAATGACTTTTAAACCCATTATAATTTAGCTCATTTTTGCAAAATTTAGTTTAGAAGAAAGCAGCTGTCATGGGGGCATCTGGAAATTACTTTTTTTTTTTGGTACTGGAGATTGAACTCGGGTCCTTGCGCTTGCGCAGCAGGCGGCGAAACCACTGAGCTAAATCCCTGTCCCCTGGAAGTTACTTTTAATTGCACTTTTCTCAAGTGAAAAAGGAGAAGCTCTCCATGTGACGCTATTTGTATATCTAAACCATTCAAATGTTAGTAAACACTTTTGTTTTATATAGAATTTCATTTTGGGTACACAAAATTCAGATTTTTATGTGGTTTCGGCTACTGAATGTTCCACCTTGAGTAGGTTTTAAAATAGAAAATGGAAATTATAAAATATTTTATTACTTGTTATTTACTCATCTAAGAGCAGAGGACAAATTTCATATATAGACATACCTAATCTGAATGTTTAAATTATGCAAATACTATTCATTTTTATTTAATGATTTTTATATTAAAAGGTAAAACACATTCAAGATACGAGTTAGTCTAGTAGCATACATTTTACCTATAACCTATTTACGCAATAAATCAGCCCTTGATGATATAGCAGGTGCTTTGAACTACTAACTACTAAAATCGACTGCAGCCTTCTAGTAACAAATACAGTTTATAAATTAAAAATTTTTATACAAAAATACATCAATAGAAAAATGTTATTCTATAAACACTCTGAACTGATAATAGCTATTTTATCTACAAAGATTATAAACCATTTTTGTCTCTCTGTCATCACTGATGCATTTTCTGACAACTGAAGTTGTTTTAGAAATAGTTAACACACATCTGTCAAAACTTTCTATGTGGGCCAGGGGTTTAGCTCAGTGGTTTCGCCGCCTGCTGTGCAAGTGCAAGGACCCGAGTTCGATCCCTGGTACAAAAAAAAAAAATTTTCTATGCAACAACTTTTTCAAATGTCAAGCTACCTAAAATTGGCTATTGATTTTTTAAAAGCTCTTTAGGGAATATTTATGAATAGACTTTAGGAATGGAAAGGAAAGAACATGTGGTCAGGTTAGAATCCCCAAAACCAGCACTGAAAATACACATTTTTTTTTCCAAAAAACTGCTGTACTAGCAGAAAGTTCGCATCTGTATATTACTGCACTTTACAAGGAATATAATAGAAAAATTTTAAATTAATGCCTTTAGGGCCAGGGATGTAGCTCAGTGGTAGAGCACTTACCTAGCATTCATGAGCCCTGGGTTTGATCCCTAGCACTAAAAATAAAAAAGTAATGCTTTTAAAAAGTGTTTTCTAGATGATGCCTCAAGTAGAATTAATGTAAAGCCAATATCACAAGTTACATTTCAGAAAAACTGATTTTATCAAGATTTAAATACTTCTGACAATGTATATTGACATGCTATTTTGAATAAAAATATAGTTTGTTAACTCACAAGTAGAACAGAAATGTTCTACAAATTTTATCAAGGACTTTTCCTAAACAACTGTTCATTATTCCGAAAAGTGCCTAGTTTAGGGCAAAATAAAAAACTAATTATGTTTGCTAAGGCTTGAATTAGCTTGATTATTATGATGGTTTATGCAACTGAATGAGTTGATATATCTAAATTGTTATTTTTAAAAATCATTATAAATAAAAGAACATTGCTTCACCAAAGAAACCCCATTACAGACTCTCCAGGGAACAAGAATGACTATGTTCTCTTATAGCTCATCTTTCTCTGTAAAGATATCTGAGATTGGCGGTGTGGAGCTCTGAATGAAGACTAGAGATTTAAATAAGGGAAATGACACCAGAGGCCTTCAATACCATTGATCTTACAGACTGGACCAGTACCACTTCTGAGCTACCCTTGGCTCAGCAGTTCTTTACTGAAGAGTAAAGAAGGCCTATCTCAGAGCTCACTGTGTATCTTTCCTACTTATTGTTTATGTTTATGTAGGAATAGCAAGTTATAATTAGTTACTATAAAAATACACCATGCCATTAATCTCAATCTTATTTTCTATTTTAAGTTTTTAACTGAAGTACAAAGAAAGGCTGTATATTCTTCATATTTATGTAAATATCCAAACATGACAATCACTCCATTCAAAAATCTCTGCAAATAGTAAAGCAGCTGATAGTCACAGGAAAAGAAAACCTGGAAATATTTACAGGCATTCACCCATGTGGATATTAACCTCTTGTCAGTGAGAAAAATGAAATGTAATGCACTGTCCAGCTCCTGAGTCTCATGACATTTTTCAATAATAGCAAAGTGGAAACAATGGTAAACTTAGCAAATATTAATTTTAAAATAATAATTATACTCCAGATATTCTATAAATTAACAAATCGTTAAAACTAACAATAGTCACATATTCAGTCACTCCACAAACATGTTAAAGAACACTATTCTGAATAATTTGATGCCTTAACTTCTTCAAATCATTAAATTTGATTCAGTCTTTTACATTGATTCATATATTCACTAACTCAATAAGCAACTCTGAATTTTTTTACCAAGCTAATATGGAATAAATAAGCTTAGAGAAAACCACCAGAGTTTCCAAATTTATCCACACAAGATGTTTGAGGACAGAGGGAGAAGCACAGATTGACAAATACACCTGAACACAAAAAGAAAGAAAAAACTAAAATAGTTCTTAAAGTATTTTGAAGAAAAAAAAAATGAACATCATGAAAGACGACATTTTGCTGATCTGCTAATTTTGATATTGAGAGAATATACAGTTAGATAGACATTGTCATGGTTTAAGTATACAATAAGACAAGTTATTTGTAAAATAAACCCTATTATTATCATGTTTACAAATGATATTAAATCTCAATACTTGATTTATGATAATTTAAAAATCAAACAAATATAAAGTAAAAATTTCAACAAGTGTATATTGACCTTTTTATCTGAAAGAGACTTAAAATTAGAGACCATTACTCTTTGTATTCAATATTAATTGTATTTAGACCAAAGCATATTTTAAAAAATTATTTGGCTTTTTAATCTATAATTATATATTTATGCTTGGAATGATGATAGTTATCATAAAATAATAAAATCCTACAGTTAATTCTGCATTATAGTCTAAGAAATCTAACACAGATTATAACTAAATTTTAATGTTTCAAAATTTATTATTAATTAACAAAATATTGCTATTAGCCATTTACATGAAATGTACCATCTTTTATTTCAGCACATACTTTCTCCGATACAACAAATGTTGGTGTCTATACTACTTTTGTTACTGCAAATCCAACATCATCTTGCCTTTAACCTTTTATGAACTAGGTCACTGAAGCTGTGCCAAAATTCAGTAATGATGCTGAATCTAATGGAGCCATGCACTTATCTCATTGCTGGAACGTAGACCAATTTGAGCAAAGCATTTCATTGAAATGATGAAATGCTCACCTAAAATGCCTTATGTAAACATTTCTTGTATACTAAAAATTGTAAATAAAATACTGCAGTGTTACGGCGTACTGGTAAGTACAGAACAAAAGTTGATAATTATTTAATGTCTCTCTTAATCTGGGAAAGATGATATTTTATGTGCTTATTGGATATTTGAAACAAACACAAAACCCTTCACACTTAAAATGGTAAAAGACCATAATTTAAATTGACAACTACAAATGAATTTCACTTTTTTTCTAAAGAGTGAAGTAGTTTCCACATTGTGAAATGGAATCAGTTTAATATTTCTGAAAAAATTAGAAAAATAAATGAAACATTATTCAATTATTTTTCAAAAATAAAGTAAATTCAACAAAACACTGAAATATGTATCTTTTAAAAAGTAATTGCTTTTCTGAATATTGCTTTTTAAAAAGTTAACTCAACAAAGAAAATATAATCGGTATTTTGCATTTATGTGTCAAGGTAAATTAGCTAATAATTCTTCCAAAGAACCTACACTGTGGAAATAGTTATAATCCTTTGCCATAGCAAATGAAAGTAAATTGTCTATTATGGTGAAAATATAATTTAAATTGTTCTCAATGCTTATTTATTTCATACTTAACTCAAAAATACTTGTAAGTAATGAAGTGTGTAATTTTCTCTGAACTTATCAAATAACATGTGTGTGTACTCTAAAAGTTCCATTTGATGGACTTTGCCATGCCCTCTAACTATCAAGAGTAATAAAAATTCTTAGAATTTGAAGACAAAACATATGTTAGTAAATTTTAGAGAAGCTGCTTGCCAATTTGAGATACTATGCAAAAAATTGTTTCATAATCAAAAACAAAAACAGAATGAGAGCAAGAATTTAAAAGAAATTAAAATTTGAAATCATTTTTTAAGCCAAGAATCAGGCTAAAGAAGACAAGCTATCTGATTTTTTCTTCACCTGTTTTTTTTTTTTTTTCTTTTTTTTTGGTACCAGGATCGAACTCGGGTCCTTGTGCTTGCAGGGCAGGTGCCAGAACTACTGAGCTAAATCCCCAGCCCCTTCACCTGCTTGATAATAGTAAATATAAAATATTATGCTTTCATCCAAATTTTGAAATATTTATTCATATTAACTTCTTTTTTTATTTAAGTAATAAACACAGCATTAAATGAGAATTCAACTGTGAACTCACAGAAAACTTATTCAGGTAAATTTTTATAAATTGGTTTTTATAACTCCTATGGATTTTAATATTGACATATATGGCAATCTTAAACACTTCATGCCTGAATTCAGCTAATAGTAAGGTATATACAGTATTGTAATTCAATTCACTGCAATATAAAAACATATATGTTTAATTTATACATATATATGATGAATTTTTTAGTTCTTATATTTTATTTTTACTTTTTGCTTTGATACAACTGAGCAACACTGTACACTGTGTAAATGGAAGATAAACATAGTGACAGATACTATATATACACCTATGAAGAAAGCTCTAAATCAGATTCTCTCAAAGGATAATACATTTGTTCTTATCAATATTTTTAAAAGAAATATAATTTTTTTAAGTAAAAGAAAAAGTTGTGCTTTAGCCTGCTATAGACTAACATATAAGGCAAAAGTGATAAAATAATTTCTGATAAACAAGAGAAACTGAGATTCCACTTTTCTACTTTTACTCTGCAGTGTACCTGTTTTTAATACTTAAAGGTATTGCAGAAAACATCTGTATAAAATCTAAAGTTGTTAATGTTTGATGGCTATAGAATTTCATTTCAAATTGTGAATTTAACTGTTAAAGCACTGGAGTGCTTTAAGAAAATAACCTATTGGTTTACAGGACAAAATTCACCTGTAGTAACATCAGAATTATTAACAGTCACAAAAATTAGGTGTACCTGTCTTTGATAGTGTCAGTCAAAGTTTCTTTCATGAAAAATCATCTTTTTTATTGCAAGACAACAATTAAATACAATTATTTAAAGTTATCAATCATGTTTTTATACCAAACATTTCTATCAAAACATTTATTAGAATATTGAGGTGTTAAATATTTTCTTTAAATTATGTAACAGATGTTAACAATTTAAAAAATTCTAAGCACCAGGATATTTTAATATACACCAAAACTCCACTTAAGAAAATGTTAAGCTTAGTTGTGCACATAACGAAACTTCTAAAAAACTTCATTACTTACTGTTCACTAAGTATTACTTAAGGAGATTAAGTTTTAAGAATTCATCTGTTATTTATCCAGAAGTGTTTTGAAAAAGGTTTTTGCACTGTATACTTCTCAATGAGGTGAGCACCCCTACTCTGGTTTGCTGAGAAAACAAAAAATCTGTAAATCTTCTGTAAGATTATTCTTGTTCTAACGTATTTTAGGTGGCAATAAGCAATGAATGCAATTATAGAAGAAAATGGGAGGAAAAAATTATAGATACCTGTTTCATATTTACTGTATAAAGTCATTTTGACATGCCTACACAACTGGTTGTGGCAGCTTTCAGACATGATTTCTAATCGAGGGGGGAAAAAAATTGCTCCAGGTTCTTTAGAGAAAGCTTGCCGCTGGGAAGTTGATTTTGGCCAAATGCCAAAATCATGTGCAAAGGGGCCTCATTACGGATTCATGGCAGCCTTCTGCACTAACAAAAAATGTGACCCAACAGGCTAAATCAGCGACGAAAATTAAAAAGTAAGAGACAAAGACAACTTACTTAATATTCCTTCCAAAGCAACATTAAACTTTTTTTTTTTGGTAATTAAACCCTTGTTAGTCTAATGCAGTGCTCCTCTGTCCTCAAATGATTGTACAATTACTCTTTAAAACTTGTCAATTTCCCTTCTAAATAACACTTTCTTTCTGTAGCAGTTTACAAAGGTTTCGCTATATAATAAAACTCTATATCCATTGTATTCGGTTCAACAGCAGAAAACAAAATCGTAAAACTGCAGACTACAGTATTCCTTTAAGATTTAAACAAACAAACAAAAAATAAGCAAACAATAGTCAGTATATTTTAAACTTCCATAGAAGTGAACACGCGCCTCCTAAACTCAGATCCACTGCGATTAACCAGTCCCACTGCCCAACTTTCTCCCCACAAAGTAGATTTGATACACAGCCTTACCTAGATGTCTTCTGGCTTTTCTGCAGATCAAAAAGTTTCCTGCCTAAGCACACAGATATTCTTTCACAAACCATGAAGGCCTTTTTATGAATTCAGCACTGTAACAGGCTGCTTTCCACACCACGTCGAAAGCCCAGTGCGTCAGCTCTCAAGATAAAATACACTGCTAATACACAATTAGTGGGAGAGGTTGTCTACTAGAGAATTTATCTTATAACGAAAGAAGGAAAAAAGAAGCTTTTTTTCTCTTTTTCTTGAAATAGCAAAGAGGGTGCGGTCAGATGTTAGGTTTTGCCTGAGAAAAGGGCCCTACACTGCACTAGTACCTACTAAATACTAGCAGAAGCTGCCTGGGAAGGGAGCCAATGGAAGGACTTTGTTTGACCCAGCTGCCAATCTCCCCTGAAGCCCTGCGCCAGACTAAACACTCACACTATTTTAACTCAAATCAGGCTAGAGCAGCTGTTTGCTTTCCGGCTCTGAGCTCTGCACCCACCATGGCCTGTGTAGTTCACCCACGAGCTTTGCTAGCTGCCTGCCTGAAATCTGTTCTAGGGTGAGAGTTGTCATTGGAAACAAAATTTTAAACCTCTTCCTTGTGATTAAGAGGGACTGATTTGTTGCTTAGCATTTGGATAGATCACTTGAAGGTAATTTAATAATCATTTAAAAGAAGAATAATGTCTTATCATGGGGGAGATTTGGGATTCGAAGTTTCTATCCTAAATTCTTCTGATGTGTTCAGATTAACACTAAAATAGCCTGTGTGTAGCAATAACAAGGCTCCTACAATATACCATTAGGAACAAAGATGGTACCCATTCACTCCAATCCAACCTTTTCCTCTGTAGTAAGATGGAAAGTTGATATCACAAAACCAAAGAGACACATCATTCTAAAAGTCAGTGCAGTGTCCCCATCGTTCTGGAAAGTTTCTCCAGAAGCAACACCAAGCACACAAGAAGACTGTTTTCCTTCCATGGAAATACACCAAGTGACCCAACAACATACCTTACCTAAATTTGAAGTTTACTTAGTTATTAGCCTGAGTGTAGAAATCATATTTTGAATTGTAAAACATTAAAACATGCCCACTAACAGTATAAAGCATAAAAGAAACTAAAAAGAATTCAGAGGAAGTACAACCTAGGTAATAATTAAAATTATCTGATTGTAATAGGAGGAGGAGATCTGATAATTAGGATCTCATTGTACAACAGACAAAAGCCAAGTACTGCTTCCTTCAACATGTTGAAGGGAGAGAAAATAAGTGAGGAATGTAATGACATGGACTATATACACCAGTATTTCTAAATGCCTATTCATTGGGAAATGCTGGCAAGAAAAGCCACAATCTTTTTATTTGGGATTCTAATTTCTGTTGTTGTACCAGGCAGAGACTTAAGTGTTCAACATAGCTAAATTAAATCTGACTTTGAGAAGTAAAACGAGTGTCTCTGAAATGTTCTAAAAGCATAGCCATGCAGAAAGCTGTCTCTCCTATTTTAAGTAGTTTATTTGATTTTCATTCCAGGCCCAAATGTGGAATGTATTTTATTGTTTTTTTTATTTTAGAAACTAGAAGTCTAAACTACATAAATTGTAATTTTATAATAAAATATCATTTAGATTACTATTGGATCTGCCTTCATTTAGAGCAGTGGATGGATTCATGTTCAGACCTCATATAAAATAAAATATAATGCTGAAAAGAGGTTTCTTTTGTTCATTTTTATTCCAACTCAAGAATATATTCAGCTGTTTCTCTAGATGGTCTATTATAATCTCTCAAATAATCACCAACTATCACCTACTATTGCTACAACTATCTACATCAGCTTAGCTGAAGAATGGCAGCCCTATAATAACTTCTGTTCATCTCAGTTATTACTTTCTATGATGATTAAGTTGATTGCCAACTTAATTGGATTGAGAAACACCTAGGAAATTAGTAAGGAACACTTCTGAGTGTTTGTGGGCTTTTCCAGAGATCATTGGATTGTAAAGGTTCTAACTTCAATAATGGATTAATCCAATGGTGAAATCATAATTCGAATGCATTATCAAGAGATGATGGAAACTTAGTAGGTGGGGCCTGGTCGAAAGGAGTAAGTCATGGGAGCATGACTTTGGGGTATATATCTTGTTCCTGAACTGTTTCTCTCTGGTACTCTTTCCCTGCTCTCTGCTTCCTGGTTGCCATAAAGTGAACTGCTTTGCTCCCCCAAGCCCTTCTGCCATGATGTTTCTACCTTGAAGCCAGCCAACAATGGACTGACACATCTGAAAACATAACTCAAAATAAACCTCTCCTCTTTTAAGGAGTACATATCAGGTATTTTGTTTTAGCTACAGAAAGGTGACCAATATGCTTCCTTTACACTGTTTCCTTAAAACATCCCAGTTAGCTGACTTTGTGAATCTTATGGGATGAATTGTGTCCTCCCTAAAATCCAGATGTCGAATTTCTCTCTCTGAGGACCTATTAATGTGATTGTATATGACAACAGGGTATGTATAAAGAGGTAATTAAGTTAAAAGAGGTCATTAGAGAGGGCCCTAGTCCTATATGACTGATGTCATAAGATGAGACAAGGAAACACATACAGAGGAAAGATCATGTGAAAAGATGGAACAAATGTCCATCTGTATAATATGGACAGGGTTCAGAAGAAACCAGATCTGGGCTGGGGATTTAGCTCAGTGGCTCTGCCGCTTGCCTCTCAAGGGCCCAAGTTCGATCCCTGGTACCAAAAAAAGAAGAAGGAGGAGGAGGAGGAAGGAGGAGGAGGAGGAGGAGGAGGAGGAGAAGGAGAAGGAGAAGAAGAAAAAGAAACCAGATCAGCAAACATCTTGATACTGGACTTTAAGCCACCAGAATTATGAGAAAATAAGTTTCTGTTTAAACTACCTAGTCTGCAGTATATGTTATTTACAATTGTTATAATTTAGATATAAAATATACTGTCAAAGTCTCATGTGTTCATGTGGAGCTTTGAGAAGATGACTGGATTGTGAGCACTGTAACTCATCAGTGGGCTAATCCATTGATGAATTCCTAGCTGGAGGTGCTATTAGAAGCTATTTCAGATATTAGGAGCTGAAGCCTGGTTGGAAGAGGAGAATCATTTGGTGTGTGACCTTGAAGGACATGTTCTTGGCCCCAGCTCCTCCCTTCTTCCTCTACTTTCTGGCTGTCAGGATTGAGCAGGATTGAGCCAGGTTATGCTCCCATGACCTTTCTGCTATTTCTGCCACAGACCCAGCCCACCATGCACTGAACACCCTAAAACCATGAGGCAAAATAAACTTGTCCTTCTTGAACTTCAGGGTATCAGGTATTTCGTCCCAGCAAGGGGACTGTGACTACAGTAATAGAGCAATAAACCAATATAATAGCTAAGTTAAAAGAAGTAAGAAATTGTCATATTAGAACAGAATTCATTTCCATACTCAACTGTTTTTATACTCAAATGTTTTGGGGTTATTTTTGGTACTGAGGATCGAACTTGGTACCTTGTGCTTGTGAGGCAGGCCAGAACCACTGAGCTAAATCCCCGGCCCATGTACTCAAATGTTTTTGCCCAAGAGAACATGCAACTTATAGAGAAAATGGAATTTATTCTGTTAAATACAGGATATAATATGACATTAAGAATAAAAAAATAGCAGTTACTACTCTTCCATCATACTACTCATCTGCATATTAAAAACAGGAACATTGTGCTTAACTTATCTAGTAAATAATTAAATAAAAATAAAATGTCTGCAGGTCACATGTACATATTTTGAAATAATCATGAAATTGGCTTTTTATTTAGGATAGTCAAAAATGGTAGTAAAACTATTTTTCAGGATAGCTTTGATGCATGCACATTTTACAAACCAGATGTAGTGCTAGATAAAATCTTTATATAAAGAGTTACCAACAGGGCTGGGGATTTAGCTCAGTGGTTCCACAGCCTGCCTTGCAAGTGCAAGGACCCAAGTTCGATCTCCGGTACCAAAAAACAAAAAAAACAAAGAGTTACCAACAAAAATATTAATATTATAAGCACAGGGTTCCTACAACCTATTTAAAGGGATGAGACCAATCATAAAGTTAGAAGGAAAGAAGTGTAACTGTTTTCTAAGCAAGTCTGGATAAAGGTGAAATATGGTAATCAAAGATAAAATGATTCAGAGGGTTAACCAGAACATATGTCTCTAAGGAAAAGTGCTGTAATGAACACTCCGCTTTGTAAGAGCCGGGAGCAATAACACAGGGATTGGAAATGTACTGCAGTTGGAATACTTAGCTATTGGTGGTGTCAGAATTCTATAATGATATCCAAGATTCTCACTTCCTGGTATACATTTGTATTCTGTCTAAGAGGTGGAATAAAACCTGTAAATGTGATGAGACAGTTGCTTTTGTGTAAGAGTCAGTAAAATTTACATGCAAAGTTAGTACTGTGAGAAAGAAGAAAACAGCCCAAATTGATACAACTCTCCAGAAGAAATAAGGAAAAGGTGACTGAAATTACCACTGTGGTATGATATGTTACCTTGCAACAATTCCCACTAGCTGACTTGTATAAGTGAACATTTATTCATTCGTCTTTGATTCACCCATTTTCTTAATTGATTTAATGCTGACTTGAGGAGGGCACTGAATCAAAGGTTGCTGTGGTATTTTTTTAAAATCTCCTATTTTCATTTTTCTGATAAACTAGAAAACAAATTGAGAATGAAATAATCAGTTCTAAAGAGAATGCATGGTCATTGTTGAGCATTGTAGAATACTGAGACACTAATGTCAAGTGGTTTTGTAAATGTGATAGAAAGCTAGGGCAGTGTTAATAAACATAACACACTTCAAATACTTCCAATAAACATATTACTGTAAAAGGTGCTATCATGAAAATGTCATATTTTTGTCATATGTAATGATATGAAATTATGAATTTTAGCTTCTTTTAATAATATTGCCATTATTTCCCATGTTAGTTTACACCAAAAGATCACTATATTTTGAAATTATAAAATTTTAAAGTAAAGTCCAAAACAGAATCTTTGAAAACAAATTGAAAATGAAAAATAATTATTACTCTAAAATATATTATAGTGACTTTTACTTTGGAGAAAGTATGCTAATAATAAAAATACTTTGAACACCTATTTTTAGTGAGATTTTTTTTAATATCTGTTTTAGTGAGAATTCACAGAAAAAATTATTTCAAATAAATGTTAAGTATAAATTGAATAAAATTATGAAATGATTCAAATTACTATGAGAAAAATAATCTTAAATGACTAAAGAAATATTTTATGAGCATGTTTTAACTATTCCCTTTTCTACTTCATTTTCTAGTTCTATAAATCTGATTTTTGAGGTAATTTCTAAAGGCAATTTTATATTTGATGAAATATATTTTAGAGCTTCCTAAGAATTAAGAACAATTTAAA